GCAATGAGCAGTGTGGAGGCTGACTGAATATGAAATAATTCTGAAAGCGTATCATAAAGAATTTAATTTTAGTGGTCAATTCATTTAAATGGACGTTTCTTTCAAGAATTGCCTGAATTAAACATTTTGTTACCTTAACATCAGTCAATGGAACACCGTTCATTTTCAATGGAGAACAGAGCTGTTTATTTGAAATGGAAAATTGCATTGAAACTGTTTTCATTTACTATTAATTTGTTATCACGGAACCAATTTGAAATATCAGATATTGTACTATTACAGTTTCTTTATTGCAAAGAATATTCGTATCATCCGCAAAGAGAACTCTTCTTCCGTTTCTAATTTTCGAGGGCTTATCGTTTCCGTACAATAGAAAGAGAATAGCGCCTAAAATCGATCCCTGCGGAGCTCCACATGCAATTGGCAAAGAATCGGAAAGGTGTGTACATAATGTTCCATTATTCCAGTACGGTAATTCTACACACTGAGATCGTTGGTTATGTTGGTACCTTAAATAATCTAGAGCAATACCGGGATTTCCATAGACGGTAATTTTGAAAATAAAATGTTATGATCAATGACGTTAAAAGCTTTTGACAGATGTACATATATTCCAATAGGTGCTTCGTTTTGATCCATGAGGCGACATCTTTAAGAAAAGAAAATATGGCTGTTTCCGGAGATTTTAATTTTTGAAACCCATGTTGGCAATCTGAAAACACGTGTTGTTTATTAAGAACGGTTTACTTCAATATGTGATATCAACATTGGCAAAGAAAGCGATTTATGCCAAATTTGTAGGTGACACGATGTTCCTAGTCTAATTTTCGAATTTAGGAGGCAGAAATGAATAAAGAACAACTAATTTTGAGAAGAAAAGTTTTTTTACTGTTGCATTGTGTAATAGAAAATTAGAAAAGCTATTGTACCTGCTGGAAAAAAACGAATTTTTTAGTGACATTACATTTTATTTAATGTTTATTTAATTACTGAAATTAAATTTTAATTAATGTCAGGTTTTGTATATGATCTTCGGTAGTTTGATTGTGAATTGTCACTTCGAAAGCCCAATGGAACAACTTGAAAACAAAAGACAATGTTCAAAGTGTATAAAGAGAACAGCATTGGTTTCAAAATTACGAAATATCACACTCGATTAGGTCTTTCCATTTAATGGCACGAAAACACGAAATATTGATCAGCAATATACTTTAATCTGCAGCAGTGGTAATGTTTCGCACTTTTGTTCTCAACATTTCAAAGACAGTCTTTCGAGTAATAGGAGAACAATTTTCATTAAGACGACAAAAGCGAAGCGAAAGCTTGTGCGCGAAATCCTTTAAGGCGCGCTCGCGATCTGCGAAGAGAGTGGGTGCGTGGGTGCGTGGCGGCGTTGCGCACGGCTTAGTCGCGGCAGATGGACCTGCACTCGAGGCGGAGTCGCAATAGCGTTGCCTCGGCGACGGCGGTTCTCACTTCGCGCCTCCCGCCGCCGCCCGCTTCTATTCCCTCCCGTTTGCCCTCTCACTCCGCGCTCTCCGCGCTCTCTGCGCTCTCTGCGCTCTCTCCGGGCTCTGCGGCTGCCTGCGGGTGCTGCGACACAATGTGCACACAGCGTTCTTCCACTCCACCCACGTGCTCCGCCGCGCCCCGCCCCTGTCCGCCCC